AGCAAAATTGACAGGTTGAAGCTTGCAAATCTTACAAATCCTTCTTAAATTAAACACCCCCCTTTTGCTAATGTCCATCACTTTTCAGAACTTTCTTACTCTGCCCCCCTTAACGACAGCTGTTTCAGACAGCAAAATTGACAGGTTGAAGCTTGCAAATCTTACAAATCCTTCTTAAATTAAACACCCCCCTTTTGCTAATGTCCATCACTTTTCAGAACTTTCTTACTCTGCCCCCCTTAACGACAGCTGTTTCAGACAGCAAAATTGACAGGTTGAAGCTTGCAAATCTTACAAATCCTTCTTAAATTAAACACCCCCCTTTTGCTAATGTCCATCACTTTTCAGAACTTTCTTACTCTGCCCCCCTTAACGACAGCTGTTTCAGACAGCAAAATTGACAGGTTGAAGCTTGCAAATCTTACAAATCCTTCTTAAATTAAACACCCCCCTTTTGCTAATGTCCATCACTTTTCAGAACTTTCTTACTCTGCCCCCCTTAACGACAGCTGTTTCAGACAGCAAAATTGACAGGTTGAAGCTTGCAAATCTTACAAATCCTTCTTAAATTAAACACCCCCCTTTTGCTAATGTCCATCACTTTTCAGAACTTTCTTACTCTGCCCCCCTTAACGACAGCTGTTTCAGACAGCAAAATTGACAGGTTGAAGCTTGCAAATCTTACAAATCCTTCTTAAATTAAACACCCCCCTTTTGCTAATGTCCATCACTTTTCAGAACTTTCTTACTCTGCCCCCCTTAACGACAGCTGTTTCAGACAGCAAAATTGACAGGTTGAAGCTTGCAAATCTTACAAATCCTTCTTAAATTAAACACCCCCCTTTTGCTAATGTCCATCACTTTTCAGAACTTTCTTACTCTGCCCCCCTTAACGACAGCTGTTTCATACAGCAAAATTGACAGGTTGAAGCTTGCAAATCTTACAAGTCCTTTTTAAATCAGACACCCCCCTTTTGCTAATGTCCATCACTTTTCAGAACTTTCTTACTCTGCCCCCCTTAACGACAGCTGTTTCATACAGCAAAATTGACAGGTTGAAGCTTGCAAATCTTACAAGTCCTTTTTAAATCAGACACCCCCCTTTTGCTAATGTCCATCACTTTTCAGAACTTTCTTACTCTGCCCCCCTTAACGACAGCTGTTTCATACAGCAAAATTGACAGGTTGAAGCTTGCAAATCTTACAAGTCCTTTTTAAATCAGACACCCCCCTTTTGCTAATGTCCATCACTTTTCAGAACTTTCTTACTCTGCCCCCCTTAACGACAGCTGTTTCATACAGCAAAATTGACAGGTTGAAGCTTGCAAATCTTACAAGTCCTTTTTAAATCAGACACCCCCCTTTTGCTAATGTCCATCACTTTTCAGAACTTTCTTACTCTGCCCCCCTTAACGACAGCTGTTTCATACAGCAAAATTGACAGGTTGAAGCTTGCAAATCTTACAAGTCCTTTTTAAATCAGACACCCCCCTTTTGCTAATGTCCATCACTTTTCAGAACTTTCTTACTCTGCCCCCCTTAACGACAGCTGTTTCATACAGCAAAATTGACAGGTTGAAGCTTGCAAATCTTACAAGTCCTTTTTAAATCAGACACCCCCCTTTTGCTAATGTCCATCACTTTTCAGAACTTTCTTACTCTGCCCCCCTTAACGACAGCTGTTTCATACAGCAAAATTGACAGGTTGAAGCTTGCAAATCGTACAAATCCTTTTTAAATTAAACACCTCCCTTTTGCTAATGTCCATC